AAGGTCAAGAAGGGAGAGTGTTGACATGTCGTGGGGTTGTTAACCAATGTCATAAAACAATATGTGTACTGACTGTTTAATGAGAAACTACTTGTTCCGTAAACCTTCATCTAAAGTACAATAAAAAAAATTTAAAAAGCAAAAACAGACAAAAAAAAGATTTAAGGCCAAAAAAAAGAAAACGTTTACCTGTTATAGCAATAGCTTGACACATTTTGCTTTTATGCTAATCATTAACATTTAATAGATACATACAGTCCCCAACTTACTTCCATTCCAATGACTCTGCTGTCTGTTCTGATGTAAGTCCAATATCTCATTTTTTAAAAAGTTTTTATTATTATTGGCTTTTATTATCAGTATCTTTATAAATCCAATCTTTATTGGTCTTTAGGGGTTGGAAACATCACATACAAACTTACAGATATGATGACATCAGCAAATTACATGCTGCAACACTGTATGTAGTACATGTTACTATCGATAAGATGTACAAAAAAAAATGGACTGTCATAAAGTGCAGTTTGATATAACTCTAACATGCCATAAGTCGAGGACTACCTGTATTTACTATGTATCGAGTACTACGCCTAGGACTGAGGATTCAAAGATGGATCAAACAAGGTGCCAGTTTCACAAGTAAGTATATTTGAAAGTTTTCATATTTCACAGGTTTCAAATAACCTTGCGGATCTCTGGGTTAACACCTGAATGTTAGAAGTGAAAAGATTAAAACTCAAGAATTCTAGTGACTTACCAAATGCAAAAGAGTCATTCATTCAATATATTTATGCTTTCTCCAGAAGTAACAATACAAAATTAAAAAAAAAAAAATTCAAGCCATTATATATATCAAGTACCTCCTATACGTCAGACACTATGATAGGTAAGTGACTAGGAAAAGGTTTGAATCCAGCTCTTGATGCTGACTGGGCTAGGTATTGAGGATACAGATATGAACAAGATATAGTCTACTTCCTCAAGAAGCTCACAGACTTGTGAGGAAGACAGACAATTAAACCAGCAGTATGCTATATACCTTCAGCAAGATCACAAAGAGTTTACATTTATATACATTTCTGGGCAAAACATTTTACCAAAATTTGTACTGAATATTTCAGATTTATCATTTGGTGGTGTTATGAAGATTCTTGCTGCTCCAAATCTGCCCAGTTATATGCATTGAAAATCTTTACCTGATAGGCCCAGCTATACCCTTAATTAAGCCTAGAAAAACACAAAGAATCTCACTCCCATCAGTGAGTAAGGTTTAGAACAAGCCCTGATGTCCCAGACCTAGCATGTAGTGTGCCTGGTTGAGCTTGCCCTATACTCCTCACTTAGCAAGAGTCCTGCTGACCTAGACCCTCTCCTGGAGGAGCTGAGTCAGAGTGGGCTTTAATCTAGAGAGGCTCATCGCCTGCAAAACAAGACACTGGCCACTACAACAAAAGCCCAAAATTCTGTTGTCATGTTTACCCTTGATGATAACTATAAAGGAGAAAATAAAGCAGGAAAGGAGAACAGGGAAGTGCTGGGGCGGGGTATATGTGTGTGTGTGTGCACGTGTGTGAGTGTGTGTTACAATTTAAAACAAGGTGGTGGGGAGGCCTCACTGACACTGAGTAAATTCCTGTATGAGGTAAATGAGCTGTGCAGTCATCTGAGACAACACTTCTGGCAGAGAAATAGCAAGTGCCAAGGTCCTGAGATGGTGCATTTGAGGAAGAGTAAGGAGGCCTGTGTGTCTGAGGCTGAGCGAGTAAGGAGAAAGGAGGTCAGAGAGGGTCCTGGGGAAGGTGAGGGGCACAGGTTGTGCAGGGCCTTATAGGCCACTGTAATGACATCCATTTAAATGGACTGCATTATAATACCCTGAGAAGGATACAAATTACTGCTGTGAAAGCAAGCCACTGTAGTAGAAATGGCCCGGCTTTGAGTTCTAATGGACTTCCAGTTCTACCACTTACTAGATGGATGTCCTCAGGCAAGTGACTTAACCTCTGTTTCTTTATCAGTAACGTGGGATTACTGTCCACCTCAGTGGGCTGTTGTGCTGGCCAAATGAGAAAATGTAAATAAAGGATAATAGTAGTTACACAATAAATGCTTCCTTCCTCACCATGAATAAGGAAGAGTAAAACATATGTTTTCATTTAAGCCCACAAACACCACAAGTCTTTTGGCTTTCAAAACTATGGTTTAAGCAAACAAATAACTCTACCTAACAGTTTGATGAATTTAGAATGCTGCTTGAGAAAAAAACAAAAAATGTTTCATTTGGCAAGACATGTTTCAGTTTAATTAAATTTAGAAACACATATTTACAGACAAATTATCCTGGGAAGTTTTAAATAGTTTGTGCTATACAGTTTTTTTTTTTCCTTTTATTTTCTTTTAAACAAACTCCAGAAAGGAGTCTCACCAACACTGGAGTAAAATGGATCCGGCTATAGAGAGTGCAAAGGCATCAGACTGTGTGGATCATAACAAATTATGGATAACACTGCAAAGAATGCGAATTCCAGAACACTTAATCGGGCTTATGCGGAACCTGTACATAGACCAAGAGGCAGTCATTCCAACAGAACAAGGGGATACTGCGTTGTTTAAAATCAGGAAAGGTGTGCATCAGGGTTGTATTATGCTAAGAAAACAATCCAAGAAGCTGGACTATATGAAGAATGCAGCATCAGGATTGGAGAAAGACTCATTAACAACCTAAGATACGCAGATGACACAACCTTGCTTGTGGAAAGCGAAGAGGACTTGAAGCACTTATTGATGAAGATCAAAGACTACAGCCTTCAGTATGGATTATACCGCAACATAAAGAAAACAAAAATCCTCACAACTGGACCAATAAGCAACATCATGATAGAGAGAGAAAAGATTGAAGTTGTCAAGGGTTCACTTTACTTGGATCCACAATCAATGCCCATGGAAGTAGCAGTCAAGAAATCAAATGGCATGTATCACACTGGGCAAATCTGCTGCAAAAGACCTCTTTAAAAGTGTTAAAAGGCAAAGATGTCACTTCAAGTACTAAGGTGTGCCTGACCCAAGCCATAATATTTTCAACAGCCTCATATGCATGCAAAAGCTGGACGATGAATAAGGAAAACTGAAGAATTGATGGGTTTGAATTACGGTGTTGGCAAAGAATACTGAATATACCATGGACTGCCAGAACAAGTACAGCCAGAATGCTCCTCAGAAGGGAGGATGGCGAGACTTCATCTTACGTACTCTGGACATGTTATCAGGTGGGACCAGTCCCTAGAGAAGGACATCGTGCTCAGTAAAGTAGAGGCTCAGTGAAAAATAAGAAGACCCTCAAAGAGATGGACGGACACAGTGGCTGCAACAATGGGCTTCAAACATAGCAATGACTGTGACGGCGACACAGGACCAGGCAGTGTTTCATTCTGTTGTACTCAGGGTCACTGTGAGTTGGAATCAACTCGATGGCACCTAACAACATAGAGAGTGTGCTTTTAAAATGATTTATCTTTAAAATAAAACAATGTGTACCTTTAAATCTTTGCCAATTCACCGTCAAGGCTCTGTTTTAAAAAGAGAGACTTTTTGTATGTAAAAGTAATTATATTAGGATTGCTTAGAACTGTGACTCATTCCATAAATAATTAAAATAAATCACACTAGAAGAATCTTCATGAAGATTTAGAGGTAATCTTTAAGCTCAAGGCTTTGAAGAACTATATAACCAAAATAATAATGCATAACAAAAGAACTTCGTATCAATTGTTTTAAACTTTGAAGAAAGACAGTATATCGTATCCCAATTAGCCTCTGTCATCACACAAAACAAGCTCCCCCAGTCTTCCCTCCTTGCCTATATTCTCATTCCCATAATTTTCTGGGCTTTCCCCAGCAGTCTCAAATAATTTAATGTCTACTAGAGAGGGGAAGATTATCCAACAGGCAAGGTAAGCGTGGTGCTTACCTTGATACTAGATCATCTGTAGTGAACAACTTCACATTTTTTCACCACATCAAAAATTCTGCTTCTAGGTATGGCTGGTATCTCTCTCTGTCCCAAACCCACAGTACCTTCCTACAGAATCAAAGCCTCTTTTCAGATTTACAATCCCTGACAGGGACAGATGACCCAGTAAGCAAGGTAAGCACAAGCTTACTTGTGCTTACTTACTTAATCTGTGGTGAAATTGTTCACTACAGATGATCTGGTTATTGGATAATCTGCCCCTTATTCATACCACTCGTATTCTTTGACCCCTGATCTTTCCATTTTATTCCGTTTATCAGTTCCTCCTCCTTCTCTTCCTTCTCCACCAAGCTTGGATCCCGTGTTTGATCACGAAACTACTCCTGCTCCAAGGCCTGTGATCATGTTGTATTCCTATGCTTCTAACAAATCCACTGAACAAAACTTCATCCGCTTTTAAATAATCTAGTGAGGGGTGTGGGAAGAGAAGGAAGGTTGTGTGTGTGTGTGGTAGTGGTGGTAGGGGTT